AAGTTGCCATGCTAAAGTTATAAAACAGCAATGTTTTGAACAGTTGAATTGGCTGACATTATACCTACGGTGTTGGCCGGCTTTTCCCTATGTTCACCAACAAAAGACAACTAATTACTTCAAATCACTGACGCAATGATTTGTCCAAAGCGTAAACTTTTACGACTTCATCTTGCTTGCCATATAGTAAACCCGAAACTTTATTGACCCAACTTCAAACGCCCCTCTCGATTGAACAGCTTTTTATACCACTGTGGATCTAATAAAGTAACACCCCCGCATTTTGTTCCGACGCTTCATAACTGTTTCTTAGACAATGCTCGACATAACTTTGAAGCACTGTCTGCATGCTTGTGAAGTTATTTTGAGTATTTAGTTAAGTTTTGCGTAAACTCATAAGTGAGTTGATGCAAAATAGCATGTACTTGTGTATTCACCCTTGGCGAAGCTTTATTTTTATATTTGCTTTTGAAATATACACGAAGAACAGAGGAACCTCTCTTGTAGGTACGTTTTATGCTCGTGTGAGTATTTTATTATTATGTCAACGAATGGGGATGGTTGTAATCCAAGAAATGACACAGTCTTTTTAAGCTAAGAGGAAACCAGTTTCTAAGTTTTATTGTAAATTTAAGATTTGTAGGGAGGGAATTTTAAACAAAATATATCTCAGAGTATTTCCAATTTCTATTTGTGTGTTTAAAATGCCGTTCGCAGAAATTTCAAATGCATAAATAAATAAGAAATAAGGAATTGTAACGATGGTACAATAACCAAAATTTTTTCTTAAATAAAACGGTTGCTGCTACATTTGGAGAGACAATACTAGGAAATCATATTATATTTTACTTTCTGAGCGTAAGCTATGGAACTATTGTGATACTGTAATTCGGCGAATGGTTACTTTCACGTTTTTTCGACGTTTCATGACCTCTGTTGCCGTCTGTCGATTTTTATTAGACTAGATCTCCAAAACTATTGAATTAACTATTATCAAATTTTATACGTATTTTAGGAATATCGTGCAATAGGCAGTACATTTTAGTTTCCATAAACAATTTCGTATTAAATTTTTATAAATTATAACTAACGTGTAGATGACAATGATTGCCCCAAAATTATGACAAATTAATTCTTCTTCGTGGCGTATACGTGTTTAATTTATATAAATTGACAACGCAGAGTTAAAACTCCATCCGTGCGTCCCTGGGTCGACGCACCATTTTTTTCATGCATTGGTATAACGCTGTCACTAGAATTATACATGTTGATGACGTCATCACAATTTTTTTATTGGTCAAATTAAGAACGAGTTACCCCATTTTCTCTAAAATGTGAAGAACACGCACGTCTTTAGGTGTAATAATGATAAAATAAGAATTATAATATTCAGAACATTTTCTTCGATTGTGGCTTAATTAATAAATTTTAGTCCTGTTTTGAGAAGACAAACTCATTCAAATCAAACTAATTTCTACGTGACATTCTTTCAATGTATAAATAAACACTTGAGCTTCAAATTGCTATTACCTGATGTTGAAGGACAAGGCGTGTTATTCATGCCTCTGGTTTTACTTTGCAGCGGTTATTACAAAACGTCGTAAAATCAAATTTTTTATTTTTTTTAAAGAGCTGGATTTGTCGGATTATACTTATAGCCTTAGACCAATTTTTTATTGATCAAATTAAGAACCTCATTTTCTCCAGAGAATGTGAGAATACCCACGTTTTTATTTAATTATGATCAAATAAAAATAATAATAATGATTTTCAAAATATTTTGTTCCGTTGTGGCCTAATTAATAATTTTAGTCTTCTGTTTTGAGGAGACAACTCATTCAAATTAAACAAATTTCTTCGACACATTCTTTCGATGTATAAACATAAACAATCGAAGTTAAGTATGTACACTGATAATAATAATAATAAAAAATAAAAATAAATAAATAGTTATTTGCTTTGAATACATTTCATATTGTCTATATGCCTGCGGACGGCACATTGGAATTTGCACCCCCGCGGCACAGCGGGGCACAAATTTTCTATAATTTTTCAAAGAAGCGGAATTTGTTGGATTGTATTTCAAGGACGAGGAAAATTCTGTCGAAGTAACCTTGGACCAATTTTTTTTTAATATTACACTGCACCTATCCCATTCGAACTGATATATAATATGACATTTCAAAAATGTGTATGACGTCATCACAAAATTTTGTAAAGGAAAAACTGTTTTGATACATTCGTGTAACATGTTCTTTCTTTCACTTTAACTTTAACATTGCATATATATGGTAATTTTAACTTATAGGGGTTTTCATAAAAAATTTAAATTGGTAGGATCAAAGTTTTTAATTTTTCGAAAAAGCTAGATATGATTTCTTGTACTTCGTGGGTAAGGGAAGTTTTATCGAAATAAGCTTCGACCAATTTTTTATTTACAAGTAGGTAACTACAATCGTACCAATTCAACAATTATGTCTTATTTCATTCAAAAGTTGTTAAAATCATGTTTTAGCTTACGTTGAACTACATTATAAAAATTAAATATTTCTTTATTTATTTGTTTGTTTATTTATTTATTTATTTATTTATTTATTTATTTATTTATTTATTTATTTATTTATTTATTTATTTATTTATTTATTTATTTATTTATTTATTTATTTATTTATTTATTTATTTATTTATTTATTTATTTATTTATTTATTTATTTATTTATTATTTTAAAAGATATACTGTTACGTTGATCGATGAATAAAATCGGCGAAGGTAAAACTTAACGATTTATTTCTTAGTAACTCGAATTTACACGACTAACTGCACAGCAAGTATGTACAAAATAATTCCGGCGCAATTTGACTGGCTTCTCTTAACATTTGCTGGACTCGATTTCCCTGCTCGGGACGGTGGTTCCCATTTAAACAGCTACGCGATCCTTCTCGAAACGCCTCCGTCACCGCTCCTAGACTTGTCGGGAGCACACGTTTGCGACTTCCGCTTCCAGGCTCTTCTCCGGCCGCCATCACCGACAATGAGTCATCGTCGTCGTACATACTAGAGCCGATAGGTGTCGTACCGGGGCGGCCTATGGGTTTCTTTCGTAACAATACATTGCAAAACTGTTATAATTTTTCAATAATAAGAAATACACATAACAAGCCTATGGTAAGTTAAACATTTTCATACATAGATGAAGCAAAAACATAGTCGAACGCCACTTTAAAGCCAAATGTGGTGGTGTAGAGAACCATCTCAGACGGGAGCTAATTCCACTTTTTGCGATCCTGTTACTGAGAAAAAATTGCCGAAGTTTTCCACTACCAGTTTGAGACCGCGGGTTCTTACGTCGGTGGAGAGAGAGAAGAGTCTGCGAATAGGCGAATTCTCATTCAGGAAACCTTTAAAGTATCTAGTGATAGCATCTCCTCTCTCGCGTCCATAGTCAAGTCAAGGTAGCTTCATAATCTTCAACCTAGCCTCGTAGTAGGGTCTTATCCTACCATTAGGGACACATTTCTGCCGAAGTGAAACACACAACACTTGTTTGCGTTAAGCGGAAGAAGCCACTCAGTCTGCCATGAAGAGATCTTTCCTATGTCGGCGCTTACAAAATTGCAATGGGCGCTGATATTGTATAATTTTAAATCATCTGCAAAAAAGCAGAGGGACTCGAAATAATTTGGGCAAAATCAGCAGTATACACAATGAGGAGCAGAGACCCTAAAACGGATACTTGCGGTACACCGCTCAATACATTACGGCGAGAACTAAGGCTGTTACCAATTTTGACGTTCTATGGATAAGAAATTCTTCAATCCGTCTAAGCAGATTGTCTCTTATACCGAAATGTTCAAGCTTAACCAACATTCGACGACCAGGGACCTTGCCGAACGCCTTTGAGCAGTCAAATTAGACAATATTGTTATGAAAACAAATATTTTATAATTCTTAGTTGCGAAATCATGGCGCTTCCTCTCGAATCATGCGATGGTGGTATTTGGAGACGGGAGGGCATTATTCTGCTAGAACGGAAATGTGATTGAACTAAGACAAGTGGGGAAAATTGGTGTTCTAGCAGGAGGTGGTTTCCTGGCTCCAAGGAGAATCCGAAACAGGGAGTTAGTGGGTGACCATCATCGCAACAACTAGACCCCGGAACCATGTAAGTACCATTTTATGTAATAAATCTACTTTAAAATTTTATTTGGGAGTTTAATATTTGGGTTTCCTGAGAAATTGAGCTTGAGATGTGACACTATCCACAGGCTTACTTTTATCAAACTCCTTCGTCCAGTCGTTGAGGCAAATTAAGAGATTACTAACCACTGATCTACCACGTACCAACCCGTGTTGCTCATCAGGAATGATTTTATTTTCCAACCAAAAGCATCTGGTCGCAGATAATGGATTCCATCAACTTCACGACTATGGAAGTCAAGCCTATGGGACGGTAGTTGATGGAGTCAAGCTCCATTTTTAAATATGGGTTTAACATTGGCCGTACGCCAGTCATTGGGTATCGTTAAAAGATTGCTGCAGTAGCATGGTTATAGGTCTGAATAAAGCAGGAGGGCATTCGTTCAAAAACGCGGCCGAGACCTCATCAAGCCCACGGTGAGATGGTTTCCTTTATTTTCGAGAGTTTTGCGAGAACTAGTTCTTGAGTCATAATTACTCTCATCAGAGAATTTTGACATCTTGGAGCTGCAACAGAAGGGGTACATACTTTTTACTATACTGTCCTTTTCGGAAAGCCACTTAGAGTATATTATTTACTTTTTTTGGGTGGTCCACCATCAAAGTACTCTCAACGATTCTTCCTTAGGAGGACCATCGGCAATACGACGTATTACTACTCTATTACATAATGTACCATACGTATTTAGTCAAGGGAGTTTTTTAATAATACTGAAATTTTAGCTTGTAGATGTACATGTAAAAAAGAAAACAAGAATTAAATAAAAAATACTCAAGTACAATACTAAATGAAATTATTTATTAAATAAATATAATATTATTACAGCAATATTGTCGTCAGTTGAGAGCTTTTCGTTCTGTGTTTGGCAAAATCATCACAAGGAAGGAACACACTGAAAAAAAAAACATTGAGATACAATTTTAAAAAATGTCCAAATACCTATTAGCGCACATCCTAGTGTGAAAAATGGCGGTGCACAGCCTAATGATAACAAGAGTGGAAAAACCAGATTCCCAGTCATCGACGCTAGTGGACCGAACATCAGCACGAGAGAAATTGTTACAACTCTGTAAATAAAAAATGTGTGCTCAGCTGCTAAAACTGCACCAAAATTGAAACTCTACCTTAACGATGTTGGAAATAAGTCTATGATAATAGTTAAGAGCACATTTCCAGCAATACCTCCAGCTGATAGGAATAAAGACGACAATACTACAACCACGGCAGTGTTTTGGGCAAAATACATTGACATAGCACACATTCCGCCACTAAATGCTAGGATCCCTATAACCTTTAATCATATAAAGTTTCGTAATTTAAATGACGCTTCAAATTACCCAGCAGTGTCTTTTTGCCTAGTTTATTGATTAAGGATCCAACTACCGCAAATCCAAATATTGTTACACTTGCCACGATTATTGTATTCACGTAAACCGTTGGAGAAAAATTCTGTAAAAAATTTAGAAATCAGAATTTTATCATTTTAAGATTTGCTAGAGATTTGTATACTACTTACAACATAACATATGTCTGATTGTGTAGATGTTTCAAGCGCTTCCAACATATCACAAAGACTAGCGGTACTACCATTGTTATAGTACTCGTAGTCACTAATTGCCTGAAATATTTGAGGTAACCATAATCTCAATGTATTTGCTCTATAAAGAATCATTCGCTAGTAGTTGCTAATAACTGCATTACTAACACTTACCCTGACATTATTAAAGATTGCATGCAACAGACCAAAATAATGTGCTTGAGGTGAGGAGGAAAACATAATGGTTTTATTTGTTGGAAGCCTTCTCTCAATGCTTGAGTCTTGCTTCTGCCAGCAGTAATATGTCCGCCGTGTTTTTGCATTTCTCGCCCTTCAGTTTTTGTTTCGTCTAACAGAGTTTGAATCTACACAAAATCTCTTATAAAATGCACGTCTAAGTCAAGAAATATTACCGGAAAATTTTGTTTATTGTTTCCAGTGTTAAGAGCGTACACTGTCCGAAATACAGCCAAAGCTTCCTCATTGCGTCCGACTGTCATCAGAAATTTAGGACTTTCTGGCATAAAGATAAATATTATTCCACTAACTAAAGACGGAATGGCGCATACTAACAGAAACAGGTTCCAAGGACGTAGTACTAAAATTTGTTGACAAACATGTATTTATTTTTTTGGGTAAAACAAACATACCCACGCTGTTATTAAAAAGTGTAATAACAATTTTTTGAGGTAAAATTGCCCATGCTAATAGTGGCAATACCATAGTTCCACAGCTAATGATGGTACCTCTTACTAACTGAACCCGTGAACGATATTTGGAGCAATGAAATTCCGATAAATAAGCAGTTAAAGCAGAAAATGGTCCGTTAATGCTGAGAAAGTTTAAAGTTAAAATTTCCGTACACGTAGTTTTTAGTTACTAAACTTACATGAATCCACCAAGAAATTTAAAAATTAATAAAAAAGTGTAATTTTGGGAAAACGAACTCATTATAACGAATACGGCATCCAAAAGATAACCAATAACCATCAGTCTCTTTCGTCCAAGCGTGTCACACAAAAATCCCCACATGAAACTACTGGAAATCATTCCTAAAAGAGTAAAATATAATACAGGTAGTTAAAGCTATGTGTCATAAATCTGTTTCATAGAAGCGATTATCTCAGCAGTTACTTCTTTGGGAACTACCAGCGGAGCAACTATCGTGAAATAAGGCACACACTTTATTATAAAAAATTAGTATGGAAAAATACCAGTAAACGTGATGGCATTCAAAAATCCCCTATCGTTTAACGATAAGTCTAAATCGCAATGTGCTGCTGGAAAGACATAAGACATTGTAGTTGTCTCCAACATAAAAGTGCATCCTGCGGGAATCACTAACAAAAACAGAAGTATGTTAAACTTTCCAAATTTTGTGGCAGATATTGCAGTCTCAAAATCTGCATTGTAAATGTCTGCAAATGACAAAAAAACATATATATTTATCATGAATAATAATATTGTCATAATAATAGGACAATGTCTTACCTTGTGTGGGTGTAACTTCACGGTTCTTATTCTCCGCAACATGTTTGTCAACATTCTCTGAAATATTATATACTTTAATTTTGGGCATTATGTCTCTGCAATAGTTCAGTATAATTTGTCGAACGTTCCGCCAAATAACGACTATTGTTTTAATTTAAACAAAAACAAATATTAAATTTAAAACAAGGAGAACAAGGATCCTTTTCTTATGCATGTCAAAATAAATCCTTCCAAAGCGTATAATCCTTATCTAACATTGTGTTAATGTACGTAGTGTTTGTTGATATTACGTAGTCAATATTTAAAACAAAAATGAACTTGGTACGGTAGTGATGTAACGTTTATATAAATTTCTTATGTTATACAAAATATACCGCAAAATATTGGCCTATAAGCTGTAATTTGGAAGAAACTGCTGGTTAAGATCACAATCTTAGTTAACCAGCGGAACAGCAGTTATGCCAATTCATTATCAAACATTAGAGCAAAGTCATGCTTTTTATATACGTCCTTTATGATGTTTACCAACAAGATCAAACTGTTTACTCTTTAAAATCCAACCATTAATTAATAAATCGCTGGCACGCAGCGTTCAAAAAGCGACATTTACGAAAATTTTGTTTAGTGTGCTGCGTATTTCGTTACTCACATGTTTTTACATCGCTAAAAAGGATCAAGTGAAATTGTGCAGTCTTGCAACGGAAAAAATTAAATGATTTTGTACACTTCATCGTCAGGTAAATCTTTCCATTAAAGGGCCACAATTTTCAAAAATTGGTTGGAGGTTATTTCGACAGGACTTCCCTCACGCCTGAAGTACAGCCCAACAAATTCCGCTTTTTTGAAAAATTAAACAAACATATTTTGCGAACTTTTATTTATGAGAACCTCTGTACATTAAAACAAATATGTTTTGACACCCTATAATTTTTTACTTCTTCAGCGTAAGCCACTGCCACATATGTTTTCTTGACGTTTCATTTCCCCTAGGGTACGAAAAAAGTAGTTTCTCGTTTTCGTTTGTCTATCTGTCTGTCTGTCTGTCTGTCGTCTATGTCGATTTTTATTTATATATATAGGATTAAAAAATTATGCGTTACGGGTTAGAATCTCAGAGGTAGCTATGTAAAATGATATATTTGTTACTAACATGCTATTCTGTTGCGTTTCTACCACATAACATAATACAGGTTTAGTATTTTGTGTTTATAAATGTTTACAAGAGCTGTCCAAACTCTAAATGCTGTCAAATCTCCGACGAACACAACACCATCAACTTAGCGGACTGGTCAATTCAGTTAGATTAAAAGATTCTGTAACTAGGTGGAAATGGAAGTAATGAGTGTGACGCATCTGATGATTCTGATGAAATACAAAAATATAGTACTCGTATTCTATTTACTAAATATAACTCGTAGAGGCTTGGAGATCTATTGAAAAAGTGAAAGTTATTATTGATGGAATCTTAAATCTTGTAAGTAATTACGAAAACAACTATCCTTCTACCTCAATATGTACAGTTAATTTGACTGCAACTGCAAGTAATGCTGCTTCTGTTTGTTCATCAACTTCAAGTAGAAAAAAACTAAAACGCTTGGTTTCGTCGATAATCTAGAAGGTACATATTTAAGAAACTAAAATTATAAAAATTTAGCATTTTTTTTACAGTTACAATATAAGCACATAATTGACTCGAAGCACTTTAGAAATTTCATGAAAAGGCAATACAACCAGTATATGAAAAGAAGGTAGGGGAAAGTGGGGCATAACCAGGTAGCTAGTGTTTGACGGTCTGCCAACATGAAACTGTTGCTTAAAAATTGAAAAGGTAAATGCAGATTTAAGTCTAGTTTAATAATATATTATTAAATTTCTCAGAAAGTAATCACACATTATTTTGCACCAGTTTTTTAGGAAACGTTGCATTCGTTTTCAAAACACTTGGTGGTTGCGTACGAAAATCTTGTTTTTATGGTAGGAAGCGAAGACCGTGCAAATGGTTTATTCTGTTGAACAAGACACTTCTTTCATCGTTATGTCTTGTCATCGCAATGGGACTTCGGAAAGGAAGAGTGGTGTATCCTGTAACCGCTTGTAAGCAAGAGTATCTGGCCAAATACCCTGATTTAATAATTCAAGAATCATCGTTAGAGGCTCACATTAGAGATGTAATCAACAGATTTGTTCGAACTGGCAGTGCCACCAAAGATAAATCTCGTGGAAGATTTGAGCAGAATTGAACAGTTGAACAGCGGGTCCAAAGTTTTGACGAAAGAATGTTACAGAATATTTTTGAAATTAAAAAGAGAGTGAACATGTCTTTTGAACAAAATGATGAACATTTTCAACATTTACTGTGATGTTTAACCGCAATAAATTTGTTTCTTTTTATTGTAATGAATTAGTTTAATTTTTTAAAAAGATGTGAAGCGTTCAGGCAACCAGTTATACAGATGCGTTTGGTCTTTGTCATGCGTCCTTGGGCACTTAGTACAGATTTCCGTTCAGTTATATCTGAGAGGCGGCACGTTTACATGACCTACTGCGACCCTATAAACATTTTTAGAAACCCTGTATTAAGAGTTTAAATAAAACATCAATAACTATGAAACAAAGTAATTCACTTACCAGTAATTAGAGCTCCCTTAAATGCACGTCACAAAAGTATTAAAATCACATAAAACATCAAAAGTTTAGCACTGAAAACTTTCAACGATCGCCAGTGTCAAACAAGCATGGATTCATGCCTGTTGACTCGACCTAACTACATTATCGCTTGTGAAGAAAACGTGTTGGATACATATCGCTAGGTGGAATAAGTTGTAGGGGTTGTATAAACGGTACCCGGTTTGATCCCACTACCTGGTTTTGCACTACTTACCCTTACCCTGCGGGAAGATATTGTCAACTACTTTATTAGGTGACATATCACAAATGTGTAAATATTTGTTTTGATAATATCAAATCCGAATCGGTACTGTATACTGTTAGTGGATGGTTGGAAAAATAAATTTAGTAACATAAAGCACATTGGTACATTGTGCTGACAGGATTCAGTCAATTCTTGATGGATGGATTTGAGTAAAGAAAATGAGACAGGAAAAATGTTCTGTTAGGAAACATAGATGGAGCGCGTGTTCGGTGGTAGTCTGCGCGACTGCCTCAGCGATGACGTAGCCATGACGAAGACGAACGTCACACTGTCACACTAATGGCTGGTCAGTTGTCCGCGCGCGTGTGTCCAAGTTCACTGTAATGTATATTTACTTGTGTTTGTATAATAAATGAGTTAACTGTTGTTCGTGTTTTCGTTCCACGTGCCTAATATAACTAACAGTAGATTCGGTGAAAGACTTGGGAGTCCAATTTGATAAATGTTTAACATTCAGTGATCATATAGAAACAATCACCCAAAGCAGTTTTAAAACACTTGGATTTATAGTAAGAACGTGCGCATGTTTCCATAATGCCGATGCAACTAAAACACTATTTCAAGCTTTTATTAGAATTAAATTAGAATATTGCTCATTAATATGGTCCACAAATTACGCAAATCAAAGTATCAGTTTAGAAAAGGTTCAACGGCGGTGTCTTAAATATATGTATAATGTAAAATTTGGTAGATTTCCCAGCAGAGGATTTGATCAAGCAAAGCTATTAATTTACAATAATATGTCAACATTGCAAAATCGTCGGAAAATATCTGCTGTTAAATTCTTATTTAAAATTTTACATGGGAAAGTTGATTATGCTGAACTGTTATCTCACATTATATTTTTTGTTCCAAGAATTCAGTCAAGATATCATAATACGTTCTTATGTCCAAGAGCCAAAACCAATGTATTAATAAACTCACCTACGTACAAAATGATGAAATTAGCAAATCAGTTAGACGAATCATGTGTAACTACACTGAATTAATAAATTGTGCAAAATCAATATTTAAATAAGAATAAGGTCTAGTATAAAATGTGAAGTAGTAAACACGGCTGAATTTATTTAATTATTTAATTATTTTTTAATTATTATCTAATTATTTTTTATTTGTTATTAATTATTTTTCATTTATTATTAGTTTATTAATACAGATTTGTAGTTCACCGAAGAAGTCTTGTGCGGCGAGCAATTGAAATGTGAAATCTGAATTACGTCTAAGTTATAGGTATATTTGTATACATTTTTTTTTTAAGTTAATTTTGAGTTGAGTTAAGTTAAATGTACTTATCGTGATGTTTACAAGTCACTTAATTGTCCTATAATTGGAAATTATTCTGTTGGGCAAATATATTATATTATTATTATTAAAATTCTTCAGAAAATTCTTCAGAAACATGTTCTTGGTAAAGGAAAGCACAAGGCTAAAGATATGTAGTATAATATGTAACATGAAAATGTTACCACGATTTAAATAGCGCGCGCATTTAGAGAGTAGGGGGGTAGGAGATAGAAGGTTCGAGAAGAGCGAGGCTTTTTGGTTTTGAGACGGCGACGAGAGAAGGTCGAGAGAAAAAGACACGGAAGTTTTGGGGTGTCGTTGTTCACGAAAAAGGGGTGAAAAGTTAGTGTCAAGGAGAGGTGTCATCCTGTCATCCTGGTAAGTCTGTCGAACCGCCAACCTGGAGGTAAATTAACCGCGTTCATGGACTGCTAAACGCCACAGCCAACCGAACTCCTGCCCACCACATTTTTTTGATTTCAAGTCATAGTTTTTTTATAATGTACCTAATTAGTCGATTTAATTTATTTTATATTAAATAAAAAGAGCATTGGTGAAGTTGGGTGGTCTCAGTCCCCCCAACCCTCCTTTCCACCATAACGACTGAGTGGCGCCCTATTATTTTTGGTTAGGAAGAGTTTAGCAACGAAGTTGAGTCCAAGGTAAGTGCAAACACCACGAGAAGAACCCGCTCTCCGAAAGTAGCACAGGCGTAAAAAGAAGATAAGAGGTTATAAATACAACGACAAAATACGCCCTTGTCACAGAAGCGCTCTGCCTATGAAATATTCCACAAATATGTGTAATGGTCATACAGGCAATCTACTTACAAAAGATGTAATGGATAATGATTGACTGAAAATGTGACTGAAGTTTTGTAATAATTTAAACAGACTGGTTTTGGGAGAAAAATATTTGCTGGAAGTAAAAGGGTGCAGGATGCTCATTGCTCATTAATTCATAATATTACATATATGGACGCCGCAATCAAGAGTTCTTCTCGGCTCGTCGCGACTTCCGCTTGCATTCGCGCGGCCGATGACTTTCGAAGAGTTTTCAAAAAAATAAACTTATAAAGTCCTTATAACAGAGTTAACGAACTGTGACCACACACTTTTACGTTCGTCTTTTCATTAGATCCATTAGCAGAATTATTCCAAACACAGCTCGAGTTTGCAACCTTAACAAATTTTTACAATTTACTTAGTATTTATTTAGTGCATTTTTATTAAACGTCTGCGGAGAATTTGTTTTGTCTTAAAAAATATCCCCTATTGGTTATACAAAGAAATTAACTTTTCCAGGACCCTTTAAATATAATTTAATTTAAATTTATTGAACATAAAGTTTTGTTACAAAAGTACGCTTATAAAAACTGGGTTGTTTAAAGCAGTTCTCCCTAAGTATCAAATGCATTCACAATTTTCAACCGTTGTAATTTATCCATAAATATGGCCATTAAACCTTCAGTATGATAAACATTATTGCTGCTCTGGAAGCGTAAAAATTATTTTCGGGTTTTAAACTTTACTAATTACTCGGCATATCTTCAACAGCTGAAATGTTGCGGGAAAGTGGCTTAAATAAGCATTCCGCTAGGAATGTCACAAATAAAATTAAAATATTCAGGGACTTCCAGAAACGAAATTTTCCACATATTATTTCGTATATTTCGTAATTCTGATTACTGTAATGGTTAGGTACTTTAACTTCGTTTTCCTAAAGACCGTGATCTAGAATTACCGACCCAAAAATTTTAAGCCAGAAAATTTTTAATGTATAATAAAGTATGAATGTTTCCGGGAACCGAAATTGTAGAGCGCAAAGCTAATAATAATAAAACGATTCGACTGTTATGGACCTCACGTTCATGTACAAAATCTAGTATGAAATTTGTGAACACAAACCAAACCCGATATCAAAACGTCACGAACTGAAATTTATCAGCAGACAAATGTTTTGTTGTTTAGAATGTTGACTATTACTAGGATTTGTGTTGTTATTTGTGTTTATATACTAATCTCGGTTTACATCAGCACTAATTTGTCACTGTGGTAGAAATCGATAACGTTTCCACCTTGTTGAAATTTGTTGATTTAGGATAATAATTAGGTTTCCTTAAGTAACTGTGGTGTACCTAAATATACTCCAACTTACTCAACGGCACTTGCTATTATTCACAGCAAACATCTTGTTCGGAATTCATAAATAAGTATGTGTGAAGCTTTAAACTAATTGAGAGTATATAGTGGTAAGTAAATTTTAATAAATCTTTTTCAATTTTTTTGTAGTAAAAATATATAATATATAAATCAAGGAAATTAATTTTAGCACAAACAAACGCAAATAATGTTTAAGCTACCAACACATACATTACCAACATCTCAGTGTGTAATGGCCGATTTCAATTTAATTTTATTGCGGACTAAATTTGAATGTTCTAGTAACATGGTATGACATTAGTGTGGCTATGCTCAAGTTTTCAGTGAGTTTTTTTAGGGATTTACATGGCGTAAACTTTAAGTTGTGTTCAAAATTCTTTTTGGTACACACTTCGTTTACATGACGTTTTTCACCAACTCCGACAGTTTTTAGAACCCAAGAAGTCGAAGTTTTCTAAAAAAATTGTTGAAACTAGTCGACTGCACTCCTCTCATTACAGAAAATACTTAACGTCAGGGAACACACATCTTCAAAAAATTAAATATCGAGTAACATATAAAATTAATCCGAAAAAGGTAAACGTGAACTTAACGTGGACTAAAGGTCATCGAAACTAAGAAAAAACTTTGACAAGAATTGAAAGTCATTAAATTGGATAATGACTACAAACACCATAAGTTTTGTAACACATTTTTTTGAGCTGATGGAAGCAAAAATTCTGTACGAAAATACTTGAATTGAAAAAGGTAATAAGGTAAAAAATGTGAACCAAAGTATCAGGAGTTAAGGTCCTTACAGGAAAGTAGTTTGGTAACTACTAACATATATATTTTCTGAATAGGCCAACAGATGCAGTTTAAGATTGTTTCAAATGTTCTTGGGCGTCTTCAAGCACCCATTTACAAAAAACCTCGTAGCATCCCCTTAGTAAAAAAGAAACTTTCGTAGAAACTTTTCTCAACAATGTGCAGTGAGATGTAATTGGCCGCCCCCTACTCATTGAATGAAGAACCCGTGACACTGTCTTACACAGTGCAGAGCTGTAAGTCCACAAACATTGCAG